CACGACCTCGTCGGCCGGCGCGGGATGATCAACGACGCCCGTCTGACCCGCGGGTTAATATTATACGCGGCGGTACATTGTGCGGCGTGCCGGGCCACGGTCGGCCAGCACGCCCGGCCGCCATCGGCCGTCGCTGATGGATGGCGTCGCCCGGGCCGCGGCCGGTGGCTGGGGAGGCCCGCGCCGCCGCCGCCGCCGCCGCCGCCGCCCGGCCGCCCGGCTCGCAAGATGGCCCCCGCCGCTAAATGGTCCCGCCGCCACCGCCGCCTGGTGATTAGTCGAAGCGCGCAGTCAGCTGCTGGGCGGAAACCCGCCGTTTACGCGAAGTGTTTTCGCGTGTAAATGGCGTGTGGCTTTTTGCGCCAGTCTCGTTATCAGCGCGTCCGTGTGCGGGGCGCGCCGAGCGCCGGTGCCTCCGGGTCGTCGGCGTCTCGACGCGACTCTCTCGACTCGACTCGACTCGACCCGAGTCTGTCTCAGCGCACGCGCCGCGCTAATGGCGTGCCGAGTGGTCCGCGACTTGTCTTGCTGGGTAAACACCGTAACGGTATTTGGCCTCGGCAAAAAATGGGCCAGCCCGGCCGCTGCTGAAAAAGCGCGTCGCCGCCGGCCGCAGCCGCCGAGATCTCCATGCTAATGACCCGGTGCCGTCCATCTCGCGCCATTATCCGGCCGTGATATAATGGTCGGACATGAGCGCCGGTGGACGCCGGCCGGAGAGTGCGGCGATGGGGCACGACGGTGAGGTATGGCCGACACGCCTGGCGTCGCCGAGTCACGTGTGACTGCAGTTTGAGCGGGGCTCGACATGCCGCTCCGATCGGCGCCGTGTAGCTTCAGCCGGTAGACAGCCAGCGCATGGAGAGGCCCTGCCCCTCCTATCAGTCGGCAGAGAGCCAGCACACGGAGAGGCCCTGCTCCTCCTCAGCCGGCAGAAGTCCAATTCACGGAAAGGCCGTGTTTTTGTTCAGTGCCGTCCACTGACCTCCGCGCTGCCGACGGCGACAATACTGATATCTGGCCCTGGCTCCCAGCGCACATCCCGGCCAGCTGGTGTTGACCTTCTTACCAGGCCAGGTGCTAAAAACAGTTCGGAAAACAAATGAGACGAACAGAGTGCTTCCAGATTCCGACGCCGGCCGTCCTTAGGAGGCCCGGCGTCCCGAGCGGTCTGCTGCCGGCTGGCAGGGATTTCAGCACCAGCACGCCATGTGGGCTCGGTGCCGCCTCAGGCGCTCCTCTGCGGGGCCAAAGCCTCCGGGCGCAGTATGTGGTGTGCAGCGTGTGGCCGTCTGTTCCCATGAACCTGACGCTGCAGACGGTTGTGGCTGGCAACTGCAGCGCTGCGGTCCGCGCTCTGGGAGAAAATACCGGCCGAATGCCACCAATTGTGGCCGCTGCCGCCGCCGCTGCCGCCCGCGCCGCCGCTGCAGGAATGTACGGCGCCGGAGCCGCCGGCGGCGCCGCAGCAGCCTTGCTCGCCACCGCCGGCGCCGCGCGGTCACCACCCAGCCGCCTCGGCACCAGCCATTAACTAAACGATCCGACGCGGTCGATCATTCGCCCGAAATTATACGTCTATTGTCGTTCCCACACCTCCGCTGATTTGCATGGCTGCGGGTGATCTCCGCTCCCAGCGTCCTCGCGGCACCCTGCACGGCCCGTACGGCGTGGCCAGCTGGCCTCGAAGGGTCGGCGCGGCCGCTGCCGGCGCCCACGCCGTACACCACTAATGGTTGTCGGTCGGTCGCGCCGTCCGGCGAGGCGGCGACGGCCGGCGGCGACCCGCGACCGGCCGCCACCGCTCTTCACGACCGCCGGCTCTGCTCAGCGACCCGCCGGTGGGCGACGCCGCGGCGCTGCGACGGCTCGCCGTTCTCGGCGCGCGCGGGCTGCGACGCGCCCTCCAGCGGGATGCGACCAAACGCGTCGGGCGGACGTGGTGTCAGGCGTCGTGACGAGGGGTCGCCGTCGCGACCCTGCTTTATGGAGAAACGGTACCGCGCCGCGGGCGACATGGAGCGAAGCGGTTCTGGCGAAGCATATCGGTCGAGGCGGCACGATCGCACCTGACGGCGGCGTCACGCCGGAACAGGGGTCAGCACGGCTGACCGCGCTCGGCCGCCTCAGTCAGTGCGCGAGGCGCGCGGAACTCCTAGCCCCGCTCCTCACGCGGCGGAGCGGCGAGCGCGCCGCGCGGCCAGCATACAAACGCCTCATTCAGTCCGCCATCAATTCATCGAAAATTGATATTTACTCTGCGGTGTTGGGTTGCAGCAGCGGCGGGCGCGGAGTCGGCGCCGGCCGGCCGGCCGGCGGGCCGCAAAAACGGCCCGCGGCCGAGCCGTTTTTCATCGGCATCTGGGCCGGCATATCTGAGAGGCGGCGGGCGGGTCTGCCGGCGCCCGTGCCGGCGCTGCCCTCGTCCTCGGCGCGGCGACGACAGCCGTGCGGCGGAAGCCCGGGCGGAGGTCGGGGGGCCAATTATTTCGACGGCGGCGCCGGTAAAAACGGCCTGCCGCCGCGCGCGCCGCTCAGCTGACGACTTCTGGACGCCGCGGCCGCCACCTCACGCGCCGCGACCGGCCGGGCCGCTAACGCGAGCTGACGCGCAGCCGCCCGCGCGGCGACCGACCGGCCGCGCCGCCCGCGCGCCGCCCGGCGGCGCCTCAGATCTCGGCCGGTCGAGCCGTCGCTTACGCCCGTTTGAGCGCGCTCTACGAGCGGCGCTGCCTTGTCGGCCCGGCTCATCTTGTCGGCGGCGTGTAGTTGCGCGACGCGCAGGCCCGCAGCAGCGCGCGCGGCGCGGGTAACACCGGGTGCGGCAAGTGGGCCGCGGTCGGCGCCGGCGCGCCGCGGCCGGCGCGGTCCCTATACGGGCGGCGTGGCCTGCGGCAGGGTGATACGATCGGCGAGGCCGGGCGCGGCGGGCGGCCGGCCCGGCGCCACTGATGGATGGGGCTCCTCGGACAGGCTCAGCGCCCGACGCTCCAGGACCGCGGTCCGCTCCTGGAAGAGTGAGCAGCTACAGGCTGGATCGCTGTTACGTGGGCTGTAGCGCGGTGGAGTTTTTGTGATGGAATTCCGGCTCCAGCACAAACGTCGTGGTCCAGCCTGTACGTCTGCCTTTATAACTCACGGCCTGATCCTCGTGACCTACTATTTTATCGAGGATGTTTTTGGCAGAAGATGGACTGTTCGTTCGAGGACAAAACCGTCCGCTTATCATCGGCCGTATGTTTGCTCCCGGTCGCGAATGATTTATGGTTGGTGTCATGCTTTCGCCGCGGTGTCCGAGCCGTGTCGTAGTATTATTTTGCGGTCGCGAGTGGCTAACCGTGCCGGGCCACAGTCGTCAGCCGTGGACCGGTCGAGCCGGTCCACAGCTCTGGAGCTAGGTCCGAGGAGGCTCCGCCCCGTTTCTCACCGTGCGCCACAGAAGCGACTGGAAACAAAGAAGCTGAGCGCCGTGAGCAATGACGCACAATCGCTACAGGCGGCGCACCGCAAACACGCCTGACTTGGCATCCAACGAAATGCAGGTGGTCTGCAGAGCCGCCTTTCGATCCCCGGTCATATTTCGGTGCCGCCGTCAGAGAGCGCTCTGTTGGCCTGAAGTAGAAAGTGAACGGCCCGGTTATTAGCCATGACATAGCACCGGCGTCAACGCCCATCGCATTGTTGCCGCTGCATCGTGCCGCGTCTCCTCCCGGAGTGACCTCGTCTCCTCCTTTGAACACAGGTTACAACGTGCCTCGGACGAACCACTCGTGCCTTATGCTTTCTCGCAGTGGGTGGCCCCGCCGGTTCGAGTGGGTGGTGGCACGTCATGAAGTGGCCACCCTGATGGGCGCCGCTCGTCGGCAGGAGCCGCGCCGTTTCCGAGTGGTTTTACCAGGGCTCTTTCTTCGGGCCACCACTGTTTGTCCTCGCACCCGACGTGTTTGCCGTCGCCCATACAGCTCTGATTTGTCAAATACGGTCTGGCGTCAGGGGAGAGACTTGAACGAACGGGGCTGCGCACACGAACCCGGCCGGAAATCCTCCCGGCATTCCAACAGCTACCCTGCCCGGGCTCCATCGCTCTAAGGCTCGGGGTCCAGTCTATCCTGAGCGGCAGATCCGGTCGCCTAAGGCTCGGGGTTCAGTCTAGCCTGAGCGGCAGACCCGGTCGCCGAAGTTGTGCTCCCAGTCGGCTCGGCCAGTTCCCTGCCAGTGCAGCTGGACAAAGGCGAACGATTCATGCCCGGAATAAGAACGCCTCATCCTCTTCACCCTCTGCACTGCGCTCGCTGTAGGGATTATGCGTAGAATCCCCTATTTTTGCAGCGACGCCCGTCGTATTTTAATGAGCGCCTGTGACGGCCGGCTGTCGCCCTAGCTGAGGCGACCTCGGGGCCGCCTCCGGCTCGCTGCACCCCATCTGTCGACTCGACGGGTCAGACCGGACCGACCCTGAGCTCGGGCCGGGCGCTCCGGATTACCAGGCCGTTCACCAGGCCCGCGGACGCCCTCTCAAACGTAGCGGACTTGATGGCGCATCTCGTCGCTCAGGCACGTCAGATCCGGGGACGTTTTCGCCCGGTCGCCGAGTCCGGCGCCGCGCTGACGACGTCCGCCGCAATCCTTCATGGCCAGCGCGCCGGATGTGACGCTGCCCGGCGTCTGCGTCGCTGCGGTGTGTGGTCTGCCCAGTTTACCTGAGCGCCAACCGCGGTATGTGTGTGTGTATGTGTGTTTGTTTGCCGGAGGGCACAGGCCGCCCGTGTTCCCGGCTCGGGAGTGGGCCGTGTTTGCCGGGGGTAGGGGACGCGCGCGCCCTCACACCGGACATCCGGCGCGCTCCGACGCACACGTCACCACCTGGTGGTCCCGTCACCGGCGGCGCCGCCAGAGCCCCAGCCCTGCGTCACCAGCCTCCTTATCCCGCCCGTCCTCGCACGGCCACGTCACCGATGCCAGCTCGCGGGGTGGATGCGTCACGCCGCCCCGCCGGCGCGCCGGGTTAGGCAGTCGGGCCCCGGGTGCGTGTGCCCGCCGTCGACGCCTCGGTGCGGGCTCCACCCGGCGTGGCGCCAGCCCGGAGGACGCTGGCGGCCACGCCTCGCTCACCCGCGGCGCAGTGACGGACAGTGCATGCTACCGAACTACGTGTTCGCGGTCGCGTGACGTCAACGTGGTGTCCAAACTTGTAGAGTGTGGTCGCTGGGAACCGGGTCGTAGGGAATGGAAATGATCTGGTACCCGGAACTTACCAGGCGCCTTCTCTTTCGCAGATTCCAAATCAGTAATACAGATCACATCATCGACGTGAACAAGGGCAACAACTTGTTCGAGTACGATCAAGTGACCATCATCTGCCCGGTCTACAATGAGTGGACCAAAGAGGAAGACACCGAGAAATACATCATCTACAACGTGAGTGCAGATTGGACGCACCAGCCGCGCTGCGGGGTGGAATCAGACGGCGCTCCAGTGTGGTCTCCCCGCGGGCAACGCGATGCACGCGCGTTTGCCCGGCGCTGAAGCCGGCACCGGCACCGGCTAACGATGTCCCCATCTAATGATGTTAAAGGGCGGCCCACTAATTGCAGGTCTATTCGGTGTCTTTCCGATGATTTATTGAGGCGATTTGTTGCAGGACTCACACGTAAATCATGTGCAGCCGGCTGTTAGTCGTTACGGTAGTCGGATGGACTGGATCAGCCGCGTAACGGGCGTCATCCATCGCTACAGGATAGCGTCTAGAATTCGTGACCGTGTTGCAATGAAGCAAAGGGAGCTTGATGCGCAGGAAAAATGTCTCTGCTGTCGCTGGACACCAAACAAAAATGGCTGCCCCGCCGACTGCGACGCCCGAGGACAAATCCCGAAGTCCGTGGTTGGAACAACGCCATTCGTGGTCACAGCCTGTGTTGCTCAATCCTTGTGTCATGCTTCGCTTGTCGCGCCGCCGTCCAACACAGAACGCAAGCAGCAGGACATCCGGCGCTTACTGGGTTTCGGCCTCGCTGCACCACTGACTGCGAATGGAGCGGGGTCCGGTGCTGACAGACCGCATAGTTGTCAGCACCGTTCATCGGCATGCCGCGCCTACACGGGACCTGGCGCGTGAATTAGCCGAGGCCGCTACTCCCACGCTCAGCTCGGTCCCCGTCTCTCGCGACAGGCCGACATCTCCCGGAGATCGGACAGAAAGAAGCGGACACCGCTTGTACGCCGACACTGGATTATGTTTGCTCCCTCAGAGGACTGGTTTGGTGGTGGTGACGTCTCCGTCCGCGCACAGCCCTTCAAGGCCAGCCAAATTATTGAACTCAAGCTGAAAAATACGCGGGCCCAATGTCCCACGCCACAGAGTCTCAGCAGCTGAGTGCGTCATAAAGCCCCAACGACAAGACGAGCCCAGTGTCCGCGGTAATGGCCGCCCAGTGTGACAGACATTGCGGAATAGACTTCGGCTTCGAATATCAAAAGTTAAAGGCATGACATCAGTGCATCCCAGGGAACTAATTCCCGATAGCTCTGGTTTGAAAATGCGATTGGCATTCCGCGCGATAGCTGACAAAAAGAATGGCGTAAACCAAAGATGTTTTCATTTTCGGACCACAAACTGGTCTTTAGAAGGCATGGATTGTTGTGTTGATGAGTTAAGACAAGCCAATCTTTCCCAGAAATCAAGAATGCTTGGGTTGTTTACGCCACGGACGTAATCTACAGATCGCCGTCTGTGACTCGTTTTAAAGCTCTAGCAGTGCTGCAGCCGAGTCCCCAGCAGCACCGAAGCTACAGCCGGGCTTCCGCGTACCAGCACCCGGCCTGGCGCTACGGCGCGTCCAGGCCCGACGGGCGGGGGTCCGCCGCCAGCCGACGCACCCGTCGGAATGCACCGCCACCCGAAATGGCCGGCCAGGCCGGTGTTATTACGCGAAAAAGGGCGTCCTCGTAAGCTCCAGCCCGGCGGGATGAGCCGTAATTGGTGGATCGAGCGTAAGCGCGGCGCCGGAAGGGCCCGGGGCGCGACCACGGAGTCCGCGCCGGCCGGTGCTGGCCGCGGCCGCTCCGAGATGAATGGTCTGTCACCGGCCGGCTGTCGGCGCTGCATAAGGCCCGGGACGCCGGGACTCCGCGTCCGCTGGCCGGACGCTGCAGCGGCCATGACGCTGGCAGATCGGCATCATGACGAATGGTCTGCGACCGTCGGTGTCGCCGCCGGCGGCGCGGGACGAGCTCCTGCCCGGACCTCGGCTGGCCACGTACCTTACCCTACGTGTGTGTAAGGCGGAGAGAAAGAGAGAGAGAAGAATAAGAGAAAAGATAGAGAGAGAAGATAGAGAGAGCGAGAGAGAGAGATAGCGAGAGATAGAAGAGAGAGAGAGAGAAGAAGAGAGAGAGAGAGAGAGAGAGAGAGAGAGAGAGAGAGAGAGGACGGGTATGCCGGTACGCAGACCGGCCTGCGCACCTGAGTGTCGACGAAGCGTTATGTTCCTCACCGCGCCTGGCTGTCAGGAGCCCGAGCCCTGCCGGCTGTAGATGTTCCACGGTTGCCCAGCGCAGTGCTACCCCCGTCGTCTCCGTCAGCTCTCCGGCCGAGACCGGGCATTAGGCTTTAGGAGGCTGTATTCCCGATCGGCCTGCGTCACGTTTAAATCGCCGTTGCATGCGGCCCGGCCGTAAGCGAGACGGTAAGTGGCGGCTGGAGCCGCTCTCCCCCCCCCCCCCCCCCTCCGACCTCCGCTCCCCTCTGCCCGGTGATCCCTGGCCCAACCTGCATCCTTCTCTGTCGGAGAAGATCGCCATATCACCGCCTCCATCCTGCAATACTCTGCTCATCCTACCAAGGGATCGCAATCCGCCCTTACTTCTCGGTACCTGACGATCTGTGGCGCCGACCTTCGCTTATCCCTCTGAACGGCCTCCACCCCACCCCCTCGGCGACCTCCACCCCACCCCCGTCTTCCTACCCGGTAACTCCTGCCCCTCCCCGGCTCCTCTCCGCCGTGCCTGCCGCTCGGCGACCGGCGAACCGCGCTGCGCGGATCATCACCGACAGCCGGTGGGCCGCCCAGACTTTCCATTCGGACTGATACCGAGCGCCATGCGCCTCCGATGACGAGATCTTCACGCTCGGTCGGCACACAATGCGTTTTCTCCCGCCCGTCTGATGTTGTCAGCTGCAGGTGCGCCTGAATAGGTCGTAATCGCCGAGCACGGCGCGAATCTGGCCGCTCCGACTGACGTGCGCATCCTTCCCGCTTCCCTTCGCTCCATTCGCCCCGCTGTCTCAGCGCGCGTGCCGCGCTGCGTGGCCGGCGCCTGGTCTGTTTCTCCGCACTTTCACGAGCCAGCTCAATGCGGACGGCATCACGAACCTGAGCGCAAACCCACGCCGTCCGGCACCGCCAGGCGTCTCTCCGGTCGCCACCGAGCCCCAGTCCGCCGATAGCCCAGTGCACGGCGCTCAGGCCGCTGTTGGCCGTCGGTCGTGCATATCACTCTGCGTCTGCAGCTGCTGCGTCGCTGCCGACGTTTCGTCGCGATCGGCAGACGTCCGATGGCGGTGGTGGCGAGGTCTCGCCAGGCGGTGGCGAGGCGGTGGCGAGGCGGTGATGGCGCTTCGAGCAGCACCGCTGCCTACTCGACGCGCCACCCTCAATCCTTGCGCCCGACCCGTGCGTTCCGGTAACACCGGCGTGCTGATCGCCAGCGTCGTTCAGTCCGCTCTAACGGCGGCATAAAAAGAGGGTAATGCAGCGGCCTGCGGCGCGATTGCCGCGGCGCCATCAGACGTCGCCGCCGGCGGCCGGCTGACCTGCTTGGCGTCGGCTCATTAGGAGCGGCGCCCGCGTGCCCGGCGCCGGAACCGAGCGCGCCGCGGAGGCACCGGCCCGCGGTGCCGCGGAGTCGGCCAAGAACCACCAGGAACTCGGAGCGGCCTGCCGTGACACTTAAGCCGCTTTATCTGGTAGCTGCTGGGGCGCTGTGTGTCACGAGACCCTTTGTTCGCCGATGTGTGCCTGTCCGCGTCTGCATAGTCGCCGCGGCCTCGGCCACTAGATATGGCCATAGAATTTTGCAGGCGGATTGTCAGCATGTCAACACGAAGGTGAACGCCCCTCCGCTACTGGTGGGCGGCGATGCTGCTGCTACTGCTGTCGGCCGTTTTCCCCCGCCTCCGAGCTCGCGTTGATCCCCGTCTCCGCCGTTTCAGGTCTCCAAGGAGGAGTACGACACGTGTCGCATCACGGATCCCAACCCGCGCATCATCGCCGTCTGCGACAAGCCGTACAAGTTGATGTTCTTCACCATCACGTTCCGGTCGTTCACGCCGCAGCCGGGCGGCCTGGAGTTCCGGCCCGGCCAGGACTACTTCTTCATCTGTAAGTGAGCGCGACGCGCTGTCGCGTGTCGTTGCGGCGTAACATGCCGTAGCGCGCCGCTCACGCAGCGCAGAGCATGGCGAACCGAGCCGCTGCCGCCTCTCGGTCGCTGGCGCCGCGTAACGATACGATTCGCCAGAAACGCATTACCAGCGCGGAGTTACGACCGTACCCGTCTCTTTTCAAGCTGACCTGGTCGGAGCGGAGGGTAACTATGAGCCTTGCATGCCGACGAGAATGCTCTCCTGCACGGGTCGGCCGGCGGGGCCTGGTGTCGTCGCTTCTGCTGCACAGAGGCCTTAAACTCGTGTGCCGTCGTCGTGTGTCACCCGCCGACCAGTTTCGTGCCTTGTACTCTGCCGCCGCCGTCGCCCCCGTGCTCTGTCGCCGCTCTCTCCCGCATTCTCGCGACGTCGTCCCACTGCGACTCGTGCTCACATGCCTGTCTACTTTGTGTTCCTGTCCGTCCGGTCGGCTTGCGCGTTCCTTCGGCTGCCGGTCCCCGCGCGCGCGGCAGTCGCTGCCTCGATTGCCGCCACGTGTCCTGCATTCGCGCCTGTCCTCCGTCGCCGCGGGTCCGCCTCTTTGTATGCGGTCGGCCGCCGTAATGGCCGGGACGGGATCGGACCAGCGCCGCGTCCGCCTGTTTTTCCGCCGCGCCTGCATGTCCGCGTGTGTGCGCTGCGCTCGGCAGCCGTTAACGTCCGCTGGTGGCGCGTTCGCCGCCAGTTCGGGCCATTGTATTCAAATGGGCCCACTGTTGGGATGCGGTGCCACGCGCGCCGATCGGGAGCTGACCGTCTGCTCTCAGACCCGGCGGACCCCCCTGACGGAGCGCCGCCACCGGACGCCCAGGGCGGGCCTTCACCGGGCGTGTCCGCGCGGGTCGTGCTGGCGGGTGTCACAGAACGTCAGGGGTGCATGTCACAGGCGGCCGTACCCACCTGTGTCTCCGGGAGTCGGTGGGGTGAGATTGTCTGGCTTATACCGTCAACTCAGGTAGCAGCTGGACTTCTGACCCATGGCAAAACCCCGTTACATCACGTTCTGGGAAAGAGCATCATTCCACGGCGTGTTTTCACGGAGGCGGCAGGCTCACTCGCACTGTTCGTCGTGAGCTGTCCCAGTGCTCGACGTGACCCGTCTGACCTCGCTGTGCCGTTTCAGCGACCTCTGCACGCGGGGACATGCTGCGGAGGATCGGCGGTCGCTGCTCGACGCACAACATGAAGGTCGTCTTCAAGGTTTGCTGCAACGGCACCGGCAGCAACCGCGTCGACACACGTAAGCAGCTTACTGCGCCCTCGGCGCATTCGGCGAAAAATGCCGGCCGCTCACTTCCACCGTTCGTGATTGCAAAGCAAACAAGCCACTTACCCAAGGGCGGGCTGGCGGTCGCTTTTTCTTCTTTCGTGATGCGCGGCGCGCGGTAAACCGGCACAGAACCATATTTACCGGCGTCTGCTGACGCCAACCGGCTCCAGCCCAAAGTGGTTGGGCGAGCCCGCATGCAAGGGACGCGCCGGAGCCGGGCGGCACGCGGCGACGCGCCGATAGAATCGGCAAGCCCTTACCCCTACGCCCGCGCGGGGACCGGCCGCAGCCTGATGTCACGCGGCCGCTGTCCGGCCGCGGTCGTGGGAGGGCCGCTGCAAAGGTGCGGACGTCCCGGCCGTCATCCCATGACACGCTGTGACAGCGCGCTGGCTGTGCGTGGGCCTGGAGGGCCGCCGCGGCCCCCGCCGGCGCCAGGCGACGAGCCGTGGGCGCCGCCGACTGACGACCGCCGTCCGCCCTCAGCGCTGCTGCCCGGGAACGCGCCGGCGCCCGAGGCGCCGCCGGCCACCGCCTCGCCCGACTGGATGCCGGCGCCCACCACGCCCGCCAGCTCGGCGCGCCCCAGCACGCGCCAGTCGTACAAGGACCTCTACGACCTACACGACCTGCATGTGCCCTCCATCAACGTTAAGGCGGCCACCGAGAAAACAGGTGCGTGCCTTTGGCGCAGGCGCGGAGGTTGGGGAAGTTCGTGTGAAAAGAGCCTCCCACTGTATGGTGTGGTGTCTTTTACGTTTTGACGAAGAGGTAGATCAGTTTGTGACGGGACTTTGCGACAGTTCGGGTCTTTCGAAAATTGCGCACATGATTGCGAACTGTAGAACTATCTCACCGCAAGGGCGTGCGGTAAGTACTTGCGTGAGATGTGTGGCGTATTGGGTGTCAGCATCCACTACGAACTGATTTTGTGTTTGTCTTCCAGATGAAAAGGGCAAGAAGAAACATCCGAACGACGATATTGCGAAAAACCAAGGACTCACTTCCCGAGCCTCGCGCGTCGTGAGACATAGAGACTCGTACGCCTCGCTGGGCTACAGTATAGCCAGCTTCCTATTACTGAGGTTCATCACGCGGTGAGCTGCCGCAGGACAATAGCTCGTGTAAATGTGTGTACAGCAGAGTGCGTGGGCTCGTGATTGTGCCATCTGTGAGCGAAAAAACAAGCTGCGATGCGTGTGCGCCGCGCGTCGTGGCGCTGCTGTCGCTGTGGAGACGCCGGGAGAAGCTTTACAATGTGATGGAAGATATTTTACCGGTCATATCTGTTTGTGACGCTGATCAATGTGATAGCCCTGCTGTGGCGGGCCAACCTTGTGTAAAACCTGTACATAAGTCATAGGAGTGTAGCATCGCATTTCATTATTTTACATTGGCAGTCTGTGTCCTGATTGCTTTCACTTCGAGCTATCAGATCTTTTATGAGACGTACATTAAACAATCGATGGTAGTTCCTTGAGCTCCTGGTTGACATGCACACCGCGGGGGCAAATGCCTATAACGACAACTCCTATCTTCCCTTATAAGGGAGACCGAAATTCCTGCCAGTACGCCATAAGGGCGAGATTACGAACGTGCACCAGACGTATCAGCATTGTCGCGGCGACATGGGCCTGCCGTGGCTGTGGAGGCTGTTTTCGCCCCATGTATTCCCATCCGCCTGCGCAGCTATCCCCCGGTTCGCGGACGCTCGGTGCAGGGAAGTTGGGGCCCTGTCGACGGCCTCCTCCCGTGGTGGCACGCCATGACCATGATCGTCTCTCTCCGTGTGGTTGACGACACGTTCCTGATGGTTTATTCGGAGCCGCAGACTGCTCTGGAAGTACCAGCCATCCTAATGCATGGCCAAATGCGAACTTACGTTTGATTATCAAAATGTTACGTGCCATATGACATTGTTCTTGTTACACCTGGCTTTGTCGAGCCCGACGCGCATGTGTATTTAAGTTCATGTGCGCTGATTTTAGTCGCGAACAGCTGACTGCTACCGAGCGGGGGTGCTCGATGACGTCATTGCGTTGACTGGATTTGGTGGAACGCGACCGTATACTATGCTCTTACTTGGACGATTTCGCAGTGCTTTTATATCTATTTTGTACATAAATAATAAATGCTCGCCATGATATGCACCTTGCGTTTACACAGCACGTGATGAGAACTAGCGAGCATGGACGTGCGACACAGGGCGCGATGTTGTGTAGCTGGTCCTAACTGATGGCCGTCTCACATAAAACTACGATCATGCGGTCATTGGAATCTTGTTATGGGCATGACAACAGCCGACCAACGCATTTTCCCCTCGCCCTCCTCCCTTACCGCCCACGGCGTGTCCGGACACAGGGGCTGTCACCCCGCCGCCGGATCTCATCATTCAAACGGCACGCCCGCTCCCACGGCCCGCTCACGAGCTGTCCGCCTCACGTGCCGCCAAAGCGCCGCGTACCGTTTGCGTGGCGGCGGGGGGCGGCGCGCCCAAGATCGGCATACGCCGCCCGCCTGGTCGCGGCGTGCAGATCGTATCGAGCCTCCTGAGACCACCTTCCTCTGGCCAGAACCGCCTCTCGAAACCGCAGGTTGATAGGTAATTCGTCAATTCGACCTCTGCTGTCTGCTGTTAAGTTGGAGGCTTCTAGTGCGCGCCATGCGAGCCTGTTCCAGACTAGCGTTCACATTGTGATTTGGTACGTAAATGTCACTGCAGCTGACTTTGCCGAGTCCATTTAACTACGAACTTTCTGCGGCACTTCAAATGTCATTGAGTCCGTTGCATTTAAGTGTCGTCTGCACACCATGACGGCGTAGATTTGGACTACGGTGCAAGTGTGATGAGGACCGGGCAGGCTGGGCTCACGTGGCTTCTCGGTGGCCTAATCAGCTCTGCAGCCGGCTCCGCTTCTTCATCGACCGCGCCAGCCCGATTTCGCGCCGTTGGCCGGCGTCGACACCTCGTGTTCATCAGCTGACATATCTGTTCCGCTTGCCCTTGGTGAAATCACCGAGAAAACTCCGGCCCGATCCCGGCCTCGATCTCACGATTCTTCGGGCACGTGACGGCACGCGAGCATCATCCGCGGATTCGAAATCTTCGGCAGGTGCATATTTCCTCACAAGCTCACACGGCCTCGAGCCCACTAAAATGTCTTGATTCCTCGCGCTTTAGGGTCTCTGCGCGCAGACTCGTTGTGGTGAGCCTGAGATTCAGGCCGCGCTCGATGGACGCGGCTCCAGCGCAGTGAGGTCCAGCCAGCATCCGTCTGGTTTGACGCGGCCAACTGAGCTGCAGAGAGCCGACAAAAATTACACGCTGTTCGCCTGTCAGCTTTGCAGAGAGCAAAGCTATGAGCCCAACCGTTTCGAGCGACGAACATGGCGCAAAGGGGTACGCGGTCCGGCCGCGCCCGAGAGCGCGGCCTCCACGCCACAAAAATCGTGCCCGCATACCGTCGATGGAAAGTGAAGACATTCCTCGCTGCCGCAAGACGGGCTGGCAAAAGACTCGAGTCACCGTCGCCTGTGGCGCGGCGGCCGAGTCGCTGCGGCCTCGGCCGCCGGAGAGTGGAGAGGAGCGGTGAGTCGGGCGGGCGTCATGCGGTGACGGTGTTGTACCCGTCGCCGGCGCTGGAGGGGGCCGCGCGACCGGCGCGTCACGTCCGTGCCGCGCGGATGCCGGCGATTCTGGCTGTGAGCCGCCGGCCCCCGACACGGGAGAGGTCTGAACTGGGGGTGGCCTGACTTTAGCGAGACCTGGGCCCGGAGGGTACTGACCCCGGAGCGTATGGGTACCGGAGAGACGTTACGGTGGAGTGACAAGACCTGTGAGCTGTCTGACCCTGGAGTGTCAAGACCCGGGAGTGGCCTGACCTTGGAGTGACCTCGCCCCACGATGACCTGCATGCACAATGTTTCAGGAACACTGGAGCGGGGCTTACTCCGTGAGCTTTGCGTCCCGCGCTGAAAAAGCAGTGTCGTCGGAGAAGTCAACTGAACAGCCGTCACGACATAGCATCAGAATGGGTGGGTGTGGACTGCAAACGCAACATGCAAACTTTGGACACCTCCACGACAGGGCGCTAATCAGATTTAAACGTGGCAAGTTGCATTGCTGTATAGCTTGACGTTTTTGCTTGTATGTAGAGAAGTTTACTGACCGCAAAGCATGGTATAATTGGTACTGTTGGCAAATACCAAGCTTCTCTGAAACAGTGCACTTTTGATAACGTATCTCCAGAAAATGCAAACCCTCTCATCCACAATTATATTTGGAAATATATGGAGACAAGGCGGGTGAGCGTGGAATTTTGGCCGTAAAATTAAGCACGTCCAAGGATGTGCGAATGAAAGGATAACGCAAAAGTGAAGCGCACAGCGCACAACTCTGCATTTGTAGACCGGTTCGAACTGCCATTTTTCAGCACACATAAGCCGACATCGCTTGCAGTGATACCCATGCGGTTTAGCGCTTGTAACGATGTGGCTTTTGTTCGCGCATGAACATGCTAAGGGTTCGTAATATTACGCTGGAATCGTTGGTAATCCCGCGTTAGGTAAGATTACCGGAGAATAATGACTAGCCAGACAGCCAGCCTGCAAAGCAATTGCAGCAAAAATGCATATTTGCAGCGCTGGAATCGACAGCGTCCCGACTTCTCGCCCCCGTACATCCTTACTCTGGCCGTACACATGTCATCGAAGAAGCTGAACCGGCCTTGACTGTGCTTTGTGTCAGAACTGGAGAGACCCATGATGATGCGAATAGTTTTAAACCAAATATTTCGGTCATTGAAAATGAATGCAATGACGAAAGAGAAGGGAAAGTGGTACAGAGGTGTAAAGGCCTCAACACAAAGGCAGAAAGGTATTCACACAAGGGTGCAAAGGCCCTCGATAAGCTAAGGACGAAACATATCTTGCTGACTTGCCCCACTGGGATTACAATTGCATGGTAAGTCTTTGAACCATTCTTATTTTTTGGCACCCCAATTCCTCCGGCCCTGCTTCCTCCTGTTCCATAGCTTGTGACAGTGACTTCCAGCCTACTATTCCCCGACTGACCATGTTCGTACTCCGGGAACTCGAAATTCATAAGGAGTGTCACCTAGCCACTTAGAAACCACACGGACTCAACCGCGTGAAGGCCATTTGCACGACAACGCCAGATCCCTCTGTCCTCCCAGGTTGAGGGCACGGCGCTGCTTGCCTGACCCGGACACGTGTGACAGCCTCGGCGACCCCTGGCAGTGCTCAGCTGATATCGCAGGTCGGCACATCCGTTTTGTTTATGAGACAGCGATTGGCCTTATAAGCGGGGCTATATTTCATAGCCGGCGTCCCTGCACAAACATATCGCCCGTCCACCCTACAGAACGCGTGTCATGTGCCCATGTTCGATCAAGCGGTCGGGAATTATTCAAAGAGGTATTCTGAGCATAGCATTCGATCGCACCTGAAACATTTTCTGCAGGCGTGATACATTGCACGACATCGATAGGGAGAACGTGCCATATTGTTTTACGCCATGCAATGAAGTCCATGTGCCCTGACAGCACGTTACATTGCGTTTTCAGAGAAATTCTTTAGGCTGCACTCACCCTTCATGAGATTTTACGTAGTTCCGTATATATATATATATATATATATATATATATATATATATATATATATATGCATAAGGTTGGTACCAAAACCAAATCGTGTCCTTACATGGCGATTGGTAGCACCAACTTAGTACTACCAAACCCCATATAAGGACACAGATTCTTTAAAACCTGTGGTTTTAGTCAGATAACGATTGGAGGCTGTCAACGCGCCCAAAGATGACAAGCTTACCTTTCGGGTGTTGAATTTAACTTACGGTATGCCGACGCACCACAAGAAAGCCGACACCAAAACGCAGCCAGCTTTCAGTCGCTGTCAACTTTGCATTGATGGTGCAGACCAATGCTAGCTGTTGAAACGTGGTCTGCAATGTAAAAATTGATTTGGTGTTAATAATATCGTTATGCTGTTTACGTTTCAGTTCGTGGTTTGTATCGTGCCTAAGTCGGCAGACCTTTTGGTAACACTAGACAGGACCGGCCTCAAGGCACGATCAGAGCAGACCTGACCCGAGCCAGCACAGCGATCGGTCCCGCCCGAGCCAGCACAGCGGCCGGTCCCGCCCAAGCCAGTACAGCGGCCGGTCCCGCCCGAACCAGCACAGCGATCGATCGCACCCGAGCCAGCGCAGCGGCCGGTCCCGCACGAACCAGCACAGCGATCGATCGCACCGGAGCCAGCGCAGCGGCCGGTCCCGCCCAAGCCAGCGCAGTGGTCGGTCCCGCCCGAGCCAGCACAGCGGCCGGTCCCACCCAAGCCAGCGCAGTGGTCGGTCCCGCCCAAGCCAGCACAGCGGCCGGTCCCGCCCAAGCCAGCGCAGTGGTCGGTCCCGCCCAAGTCAGGGGGGCGGCTGGTCTTACCAGACCGAGCTGGTCCGGAGCTGGTCCAGCGGCCTGCCTCTCATCAGGGTCACCGCAATATAGCGAAGCCCCTGAGCCGGCCCAGCAGGCAGCGTCACTGGATCCAGCGCGGTTACCAGTCCCACGTGGTACCGACCCACGTCTGCTGCCCAACACAGCGCGACGGTCGGTCCTCACAGCTCCAGGACAGTGTCTGACCTCACTAGAGCCAGTACAGCGGCCAGCCTGTACCACCACAGCCCATACGGCTCTGGCGTGCTGGGGCTGGGCAGCGCCCGTTGGGACCGGCCGCTGGGGCCACCGGGCCCGCCAGTCAGCTCGAGGCCAGGCCACCAGTCACGCAAGAACCGGCACAGCTGCTGGCCTCACAAGAGGCTGGCTGGCAGGACCGGCCAGCATGGCGGCTTAGTCCACCACTCGTTTGTGGCGTCTAGGATACGCGCTAGAAAACAAGGCAGATGAAGCAGCAGCATGAGGAGGAAGTAGTGTCCAGCCGCTTGCCCTGCCCCCTATGGGGATCTGTGCGTACTGGTGTTTGCCGAGTGCTGTGGCGGCGCGGCAGACAAGGGAGGAGCGAGCCATGTGAAGTTAAGGTCGACTCCCGTGATTCTGGACGTTGGCGCTTGTCCACATGATGTATGTATGGTGTCATCTTCTGCTCGAGCTACTCATTC